TGTGTCATCTGAACTAGAAATGGCGAAAACAGGAAGCTCGTCTGAAACTTCTTCGACTTCTGCTAAGCGTGTGCCTGTACGCAACTTTAAGGCATGAGCAGAGTCATTGACAATCCATATATCAATTTTCCATTTTTATTCTTAACTATGCTTCTTGGTATCATTATAGAATTCATTAAACTTGAAACGAAAAGGTCACTTTAGAAATTGAAGCACTAATAAAACGTCCGGAACGAGGAGGGCATACTGTGGTCCTTTGCACATGGGCATAGGAGGGAAATTGCCGATGTTCAAACAACTTCTGGAGAGAGATGGCAGAAACAGGTTTAGATGAGTTGACACTCTGGATACGGCACGAGCCATTATCAGTATATTTCAGAGGTAATCTGACATCCTGCAGTATTATAGAAGATCTGCAAGGTGAACGTTTATGCACCATTTTGAAATCAAATCTTCTCAGGAAATCCATACCCAAGAGTACATCACCAGGAAACTTTAGATAGTCCGTTATTACAAAACGATGTTTGCAACTCATACCTGCAATCTGGATATCAATGTCAATTTCACCTCCTGTTTGTAATGCAGATCCTGAGACGTCTGTTAAGGACTTTACGCAAGGTCGTATTCAGCTCGAAACATTTTCCAAAGAAGATAATTTTACCAGAGAAACTGACGAGCCCGTGTCGATGAAAGCTTCCTTTCTGGTCCGGTCACAAATTAAATGAACAAGTGCATTTTTCAGAACACTTTTTAGAAACTAAATTATCAGGTGGCACCGTTGCAACTGCAGACTTATGCATATTAATGACATCCCGAGGTAATGCCTGCGGTTTCCACCGATGGGGTTGTCGATGAAGCCTGGCCTGCTGAAAAGGGACACGAACGACGTTGATGCCCAGGGTAACAGCACGTCCAGCACACGTTACCGGGAGGTTTAGCTCTACAGGAAGTTGTGGAGTGACCTTTGCATTTATGGAACGCACAGTAAATTTCGTCCTTGTCCTTGGTAAATGCAACGTGCGGGCGAGAATTCTGCTTACGTGCAGATCTACAATTCAAAATTTTAGCTGCTGTATCTACCAATTCATCAACAGGAGCATCCGTCTTTATCATGACCATCTCACGTAAGCCAATCGGAAACGACTGTAAAAAGATCCTAGTAATCAACTCTTCAGCATTACCCACTGCTACCGGATAATCTCTTAAACCTTAGTAAATGTAACCTTGAATTTCAATATATAGATCTTGTGGAGATTGATGAGGAGCTAATATAATTTCATTCAAGAAACGGAAGAAGTCTACCGAAGTGCTTGTACCACGGAATTTCTTTTTAACTAAGTCTTTAAAATCTTGCCAAGTAGTTACACTTTCGAATAAAGGGGAGTTAATCACTAGCTCAGCAGCTCCCTTGCAATGTAACCTTGTTTATCAATGTTGCATTATCTTTCACTCTCGTAACTAGTTCTATTTGTCTAAGCCAATACTCTACTTCCATATTTCTCATAAGGGGGTTTGATGCGGGAGTTCAGGCTTCGAAATAAGGTATTGAGCTTTTCTCAAGTACAACATTAGGCAATGGCGAGGGAAGGAGTGTTGAATTTGCAAATTCTCTATGCGCATTCGCAATTTCTAAGCAAGCACTGAGTTTTTCGTTTTCTTTCTGCAAATCACTTAATTTTTTCTCAAGCTCCTTACACTTGTTCAGCACTTCTTTGTATCTGTCATCACTCATGTCTAAGGACTTATAATTTCTATTGCGATTTTTTCTACCCATGATAAAAGTAAAATAACGAAGGAATCCGCAAGACAACTTTAACCAAAAATAGAATATCAATTACTCTAGTTAAAATAAAGAAATACCAATATCGACACCATTAGAATTAACCTGATATACAAAGCTAGTCAACAACACAACAATTCAAAGCCATAACGAGAGAGAGATCTGCGAACACAAGATGATAACACTTGACTTGTACATAAATTTGTATTAGCATACAGCATGAAAATAGAGGTAATTAATGAAAAGAGAAGTTATCTAAATAAAGCAACGCGAGATATTACGCTAGAAAGCACATTAGCCAAGGCTATTTCAGCTTATAAAAGATACTCGAGAAATACACAAATAGAAATTAATTTGAATTTGTATTATCTGAATTAAGCAAAGTACAAACCATACAAGAGCCAAGATATGTAAAAGTAATTGTAACCTTATCTTACAGCTGCAACACCAGTTTGTCGTATAGCAAAGTAGAGTAGCGTGGTGGGCGTGGCACAAGTTCTTTATAGTAAGATATTCCTCTTACGATTTGTGAAGATTCAGAGTATGTTAATCCTTCTAAGACAGTGCGGGCTCGTATGCATACGCAAACCGTTGGTCTGCATCTTAACTGGCATTATGGCGCTGCGCTTGTTCCTGCGATCACTACAATATATATATATATATTGTAGTAGAAAGGTGGCATCTATCACTTGGACTAGTGTCTGTATCTCTTTTTGGAGTGATCGTGTGGGTGTGAGTGCCCACTGGTATGGCTGGATGCTGGAGTGGAGATCAACGGGGAGCTGGCAGGCTCCCCAGGCGACCAAGGACCAGGCAGTCTTGAGTTGCTGCTGCTTGCTGTGGTGCTATAGGGTCGGGGAACACTAATCTCGGTTCCGGATTCTGCGGCCTCAAGACTCGTGCGCTGTGTAGTTTCTCAGGCAGCAAAGGGAGACCGCCGTCCAATGAGCGAGGACACGGCTCTGAATTTTCAGAAGAGAGCAAGAAAGAAATTAATCTAGCTTTTCATAAGACTTACAGTCTCCGATTACAAAGGTAAAATGTAGTTCAGTATGTAGGAAAAAGTAATGTAAACATTTAATCCAAGTGGGGCACACGTTGCTATCAAAACTGCGATTGACAATGATGGTGAGGTTCCAATGCCGCTTCTCCCTGTGTTTTGAATAGCCAGGAGTCCACACACGGCGCACACCCTTCAGACAGCCGATTCCCTTGATTTTAAGACACAGTCAAAAGATCTGCGAGTCCTTGTCATTAGTAATTATGGTCAAGGAAATGCAACAGTCTGGGCAAAAATAATGGGGTTGGTGGTGAAAAAAAGAGAGAGAATAAAAAAAGTATATATTCTTCATGCCCTGCCATTTGCGGTGTGAATACAGGTCTGTGAGCCTAAACCAACAAGTCAAAACGTGTAACTGATAATCTACAAATATTATGTTCTCAACCCCTAAGATTGCAAAGAGTATGAAGAGCTAATGTCATTATGCAAAGGGAATTTCCCAATTGTTTGTCATATTGAATTTATTTATTTATTTTTTTTTCAAAGAGAATTCTTTTATTCTAAAATAGGATATTTTCATTTTTTGAATGAAAATATATGAGTGCTTTAACATTTCCTGTCTCTTTTATAACCTACATGCTGGATAACCGTAATTAATGTTTGCAATTCCAAAAATTGATTTTAACAGCATGTTTTCTTTTAATATTACCATGAAAAAAATAATAGTTCTCATTTCATAGGACAACAGTGTATATTTTGGGCGTATCTCAGCATTACCTTCAATGTACATATCAATTTCTCTATTCATGACGAGAAGAGAAGCCGGCGTATCAAGGGCGTAAGCAAACTTTCAAAGTATCGGATTTTTTTTCACAGATCAAAAAGATAAATTAGCTTCAAGTCCTTTAGAAAATAATAATAATAATAACACTTCTTTCGAACTTGAGTATAAGCATGAAAAAATAATGTTTGGGCTGCATGCGGAGAGCCAAATCCTTCAGTTATTTTTAAAATGAAGTGAGTAATGAATGATACAGTTTAGGTAAAAAGTCTGGATCGCTCTCATTAAAAATCGTAAAGACTGAGATATGCAAATTTTGTTGGCAGTGTTCCCGAGTTCGATTCCCCGCCACGCCGGGCGTAAAAATGCCTCCGTTTTGACTGCTGGCTCAAACCGTTCTCACGGCGAGAAAATACCTATTGCCTTGAGAAGTCAAAACGTAGATGTCATAGGGGAAATAACCGCGGTGGCACAGGTTGATTAGGAAGGGCATCCAGTCAGGCAAGGGTGGCACTGCCAAATAACCTCTCAATAGTGAATTGAGAGAGGCTTATGTCCTGCAGTGGAATAAATGACTGTGTGTGCGTGTGTGTGTATGTGTTTGCGTTGTGTTTGTGTGCATACACACACAAACACACACGTATAGATATACATATACAAATCCACATTTTTATATACTTAGATATCATAATGGCAGTTTACACTTTCTACTCTAGTGCAACCCGGGTCTGGATAATGCATCTCCCGATATTGACTATTATGCCCCTAAAACCTAACATTTAGTTCCGTTGCAGCTTCCTACTACATCTTCCGGTTAAGCGACGACCAAAGAGACCTCACGCAATCAGGCTTTGACGAGGCCGCTGCGTACACCCTCCTGCACGCCAAGGGGGAGGACCTCGAGTCTGTCCTCCGCCGGAGTGGCAGCCCGGTGGCCCTCAACGTCACCTTCAGCGGGGAACTGGACTGCGACCGAGATTACTTCGTGGCCCTGAAAGCGATAGACGACGAAGGCACTGCCGGGTAAGGAGGGTGACTTTTGATGGTAAATAAAGATGGGTGTTGAAATATATGCGCAAACAAGCACACACGGACGCACATATTTATAATTGCTTCATATTTTCTATCTGTGTCTGTGCGTGTGTGTACCCGATCATTGTAAGCACAAATGAACACATACACATAATAATACACCAAGGAGAGGGATAAAGAGAGAGGGGGGTGGGACAGACAGATACACAAATCTCTCACGGGAAATTATGTTTCAGCCCAAAAACTTTCCCCCACAGTCATGTGTCGAACCTCGCCCACTTCACCTCGTCGGAAATGCGGTTCCCGGCGCTCTTCGACAGGGTCATATGCGACCAGAAGACACTAACGGAGGAAATGTCGAATCACACCCGACGTCAGAAAACTTACAAGAAAAAGAAAATCCGTAA